TGTGCTGGGCTGTGAATGGCTCACATACAACATGGAATTCATATAAAACGGAATTATCAACAGTGTTATAGGGGGGTCGACTGTAAACTAGCAACTTGATGTGCCATACATCGACCTGGTTATCATGATTAGAAATTATATATGAATTTAATTAGAAATTACTGTAAATATATTTATATATTATACTTATGTAGTATGTATTTTATGATTACATACTGTATTTTAAATTAATATACAAATATGTTATTATGAATTACTTACGTTTTCGAAGTAGTCTTATATTCGTTGCTATCTTTGATTTTAAATGAGAGATTTGTATTGAAAATTCCAATAAGAACAATCAATTGCAACGACAAACATTGAGTTTTTTTGTTCTGTTTGGCAAATGATTTGAGTTTTCTGTTCTGGGGGACATGGTATCGAATCCGGACGAGTCGAAATATCGCCAGGAATTTTTCTGGAGATAATCTGTCTGGATATGTCGTACCCCGTTCCTCACCATCCGGCCGCCCCATTGCGGGCTTGGCCGAATCCATAACAGGCTTGCTAAAAGAGGCCCTGTTAGGAGGTAGAAACAGCTTTAAAAAAAACACAGAATTCATTTACGATGCCTTCGAATACTTGTAATTGACCAAGATGGCTGCTTTCACATAGCGAGTGAAGCATATATAATTTATGCTTATTAAGACACGCATTACAGTATGAGGCCACTCTGAAATATTTATTAGCAACTACAATATAAACAGATGTAAGAAAAATAAAACTTAAAAACATTCGATAAAATAAATTAAAGTTTCTAGAAACAAGAAGAAGTTATTAAATCGCTAGGGACCAACCCCAAAATATTTCTGATATTCTCATTATGAGTTTGATTAGACCCGCAATGAGGCAGCCTGATGATAAGGAATGATGCCCGGCATATTAGGACTGACCAACCCCGAAAAGTTCCTAGGATTCGTCGGCTTCGTCCAGAGTCGAACCCGTGACCCCAAACGTTAGACTACCACCGTAATCAATCGCACGTTCGTTGCGTTTTATCATCAATTTTGCAGATCTCGCCATATGAATCAGACAAATCGTTAAATTGTCAGATTCATCTGGCGAGATCAATCGTGTGGCAATCGTTACTTCAAATTCTGATGAATGTAAAATTAAATAAAATAAATTACAAATTTCGAGGGTTTATAAAATTTACTCCATATTATATAATTTATAAGGTTTGTTATTCTACCAGTTGTAGGCTCTGTGTTATTACGTGTTAAAGTGCATTTCCGTCAAAAAATTATTAAACAATTCATCAAACTTAACAAAGAACAACATTGTTGAGCTTTATTGTTCGCATTACGTTGTTGGAAAACGTTCGTTCAGATGTTGGAAATTAATGAAGGCGAGATTTCAATGAATTTGTTAGCAGGATGTTTGGTGTCTAGTGCAGAGAAAGTGCCGAATATACACGGCCGAACAAAGAATTGCTGAAGGTATTTTTATCATGTCACTTTCTTAACATTAAGTGTAATAAGTAACCAGGCGTTAAAACTATTCATAAAATTCGAGATTGTTAATATTTTACATCTTTATAATGAAATGCAATTGCATATTTTTGGAATTTTTCTTCAAATTGAAGATTTTAAATTAATTTATCGAATAAATTAGCATGACTAAACAGAGGGGTTAAAAATCAGGTTAAAACGTTAAAAATATTAATAACAATTAAAATAATTAAATTTGGATATCAAAATCTTTTTAAATATAATAAACATAGGAAAATGACCTTTTCAGTATCAGATAATGTTGTGCTGTGCGATGCTAATTATTTGACATCGATATCATTTTTTGAATTAATATTTACGATCAGCTGGAAAATGTTTAAAAAATTATACATAACATCGGACATTTGTAGTAACAATTTAATGCTTTCGATGTAACGCGCGATACATTTACCCATACGTCATATTTATCTAACAATTACTTCCAATTGTTCTTTTTCTATTATTGAATAATAAAATTTATCCAGAAATTCCGACTTTTATTCATTGTATTTCGATGCTATTTTGAATCGGAATGTGTCGAGAAGGTAAGTATCACTTGTTTTTTTTATTTATGTGATTAAAATGGAACAAATTTCCCACTTGAAACATCTTCATTATTTAAATTAACGATTATTTTACCAATTAGTTTTGAATTAAATTTATAAATTGCTTATTTAACCTTGAATCCTTCCAGGTTAAGTAAGCAATTATCGAAAGAACCATTTAAGTATTATAGTTTATGGGGAGGAATTCGTTTGTATCTGACATAGGGGAGCAAGTCTTTGATGACGTAAGGATGCACCAAACGTTTATTTTTCTCCCCATTCATTACGGGATGGCTGCAATATATTATTATAATATTTCTTTTAAATCATATATTATATATNTTGTACCTCAAAATCAATAAATGTATTTTTGCCGACCGAAGGTCCGATACTTTTTGAACAGCCCTCGTATCTCCCAAAATCTGTAACAATTATCCCAATACTGTATACCATAATGTAAACACATTGTATTTACAAGTGTTTAAAAATTGTATTCAATGTGCTAAGTCAGGGATTGAGAAAAGGGAATAAGGAAATCCGGAGACGAGGTTTTACTGAAAATATCCAAATGTACCAAATCATATGCTGATGTCAATCCAAGAACAAAGAAAGACTTATCCAATGAACAAATCAACTTATCACGAAAGACATTTGCGACTTCATTAATCTCTCTTGTCTGAAACCATATTATCTACTATTCAAACGGTGTAAATTTTTATTCACAAATTTACCAAAAATGGAAAAACCGAAATAAGCCAATAATTCTGATATGTAAATTGCCCTTTATATATTATTTTGAAAATATACGGACATGTATTAGTTTTAAAAATAAGTTTATTACATAAGACAACGATTCTATTATGAAATATTATATAAAATAGTAAATATTCTGCAATATTGTTTATAATTTCTGCTGTTATTCCAACATAACTAATAGCTTTAGCAATTGGTAGTTCAATAAATAACAACAAAAAGTTCTTCATTCATAACGTCAAGCATTACAAAAGTTCTACAGAAAATTCTATTTAAATCTATTTCTTTATCACTTGACTCCAATTCCGGTTTTTATAATTCTACTTATTTTGCTTGTGAATAATAATTTATAAATAAATGAGAAAAGCCTAAGGCTTTAAGATTTCCTGCATACATTATCAGTCTGTCAACTGATATTCAGCCTGAGATCTACTGAAAGAAATTGATGAAGGGAATTTCAATGAAGTCCGGTGAATTCTGAAAATTATTAGGAATGATAAAATTATTACTGAAGAAGTAGAGAGGAGATATCACACTATTCAATGACTTCTCAGGACTGTTAAGAGCGCTAAAGAAAAAAAAATTGCAGACCATGTTCTAATACGGCAATAAAACTTTAAACAATGGAGGGTTTTAATAAGAGAAATCTAAGAAGGGCAAGGATAACTTGGTTTTAACATGTCAAAGATTGTGCTAGCATTCTTAAATACCAAGTAGCTAAAAGAAAAGCAAGTGATAGGAAAAGCTGGCGATTTATGGTGATCAACCTTCGTAGCATGATGAAGAAACAAATCAGCAACTTGTCGATATTATTTATTATAATTATATATCTTAATATACAAATATTTATAATCTACAAATATGTTATGAATTATTTACATTTTTAAAGTAATTATTTATCCGTTGCTATATTTAATTTCAAATGACAAATTTATATTGAGAATCATTTTTCCCCAATAAGGACTTTAATATATTTTGATAAAATTTTTTTATTAAACGAAAAACAAGTAACACCAAAAATCTCCTTACGTAATTTTGACAAAAAGGTGCAAACAGCAATCACGTGATATGCATCCAATGGTGAATCAACCGAACCACACATGCAAATGTTCCTTCTAGAAAATGAAAAATAATCAATTTAATCTCGATTCACAAAACGGATAATCTCCCCGGATTTTTTGTGAATGATTTCAGTTTATTGATTAAATCGAATAGCAACGAATATCCAGTTTTATTCTCTGATTGCTATTCTGTCAAGCAATCAGAGTCAGTTTCTGGAAATCAAAAAACTACCACAAAATGGGTGTCGCCTTGACGTGGCTTTGTGGCTTAATGTGTGAAAATCTTATCGAAGTTTTGCAGATAATATTTTCCACAGACTAAGAACACCCGACAGAAATTTCAAAAGTATTTTAAATAACTGTTGTTCTTAAAAATCATACCAAAACAACTAAACGTGTTTAATATACCGTAAAACATAGGGAAAGTATGGCGATCGATGAAAAAAATGACCTCCGCCCGACATGTTTTCATTTTTGGACTCAGGACACCTTCTAACGTCAATACATGCAGAAAATTCGAAAGTAATTTCTGTATGTATGGATATTAGTATCTGTGTATATGTGTGTGGGGGGAATGGTTTTGTTCACAGTGTTTGAACCTTAATAACTCCTGTGCTTTTTGTCGAAAATTTCTGAAATTTTGCACGTTGGTTCGCTTATTAGACGGACTGATGCGATTAAATTTTAGTGGTTACAGGTCGAGGGGTAAGGAGATAATAGGAGTCGTGTGTACCTCCGAGAAGGTAGGACTTTTTTTTATTTGTGATTTTAGGTCGGACTTAATGACGATTTACTCATTATTATCGTTTATAATTGTTTTTATAAAACTCACCCCTACCCTAAACACTAAGCTTTTTGTCGTTTTATAATAGTTAAAAATATAAAAAAGTTTTTAAAAATAAAATATGATAACAGATGACGCCACCAAAATTTTAATTGTTGACGGGAAAGTTGAGAAACTCGTTACTGCTTTATTAATTCATTTGATTACATAATATCGATGAAAACAGAATGCTTCGATAAAACATTGTAAATAGTTTAATTTATCACAGAAATAAAACATGAAAAAATAGAAAATTTTTAAATAAAATATTATACGAATTTTATTTATTTCTATATAATTACATATAACTATTTTCTTAATCATTTCTTTACATTAACCTGCAATAATTCTCCACGCATACAATATACTCAAAATACAATCCTCGGAAATAGCCAACAATACAGTTATTAGTTGCCAAAAGCACATTAACAACACGATTATATCGACAAAAATTATTTAATAAGGATATCCGCTGCGTGCAATTATTGAGCAAAATAACTGGAGAATATGAATCAACCAAGTTAATCATTTATATAAACATAAATAAATTTATATTTCGTTCATTATATTTTCGTTTATCATATAAATTCTGCTATTAATATACGTTATTTATTTTCAAAACATATATAAGAACAATAAATAACATAATATTATATTTAGATCTCATACCGAAATCGATTAACTCACTCGCTCTTATATAATTTTAATTATCTGCGTTAAAAATTAAACGAAAGCAAAAATATGCAACGTTATGAAACGTTAAACAAATTCATTTGGAACTTTGACAATGAAATTAATCGTGACAAGACTTTGATCTAATATTATTATTGTAATTTTATATAAACTTCAATACAGATAATAACGTTAAAACATTATCATAAAACTCAGAGCATTAAATCTCTCGATTTATCTGTAAATAAGTTGTTGATGAACTCGATTAATTTTTAAACATTTTCTTAAAAAATTCTCATTTAACTAGAAATATTATTATATAAATTCTTATTAGCAATATTGGATTATATCAGTTATTTCGTCTTTCATTATCACAGTTTCAGAAACCATTAGCATAAATCTTCTTTGTTTTCATAGCAGTGTTAACAGAGCCTTTATTGCACTTCACCTAAAGACAGCCAATTATGACTCCATATAATTTTCCTCTTTACAGGTAATTAGCTGCAATTTGTACGAAGGATATTATTAATTTCCCGAAATTAATCAATTTTTTTCAAGGCAGACAAAACTAAAATTCCTTTGCATTTGGTAGTATCGTCTTCTCCGATGTCCTTGTTAAGACTTATCCAATGAACAAATCAACTTATCACGAAAGACATTTGCGACTTCATTAATCTCTCTTGTCTGAAACCATATTATCTACTATTCAAACGGTGTAAATTTTTATTCACAAATTTACCAAAAATGGANAATCTGTACGAAGGATATTATTAATTTACCGAAATTAATCAATTTTTTTCAAGGCAGACAAAACTAAAATTCCTTTGCATTTGGTAGTATCGTCTTCTCCGATGTCCTTGTTAAAGTACCAGTGTTTTATATCGAGATTGGCTTCTTCTAAAGCTTCCTTCACCAATTGCTCACTTACAGACAAATCGTAAAATTTAAGTTTTTCCGAGTCGTTGACGTAGATGCAGTAAGAACTGTCGATAATTACAATCATTATCAAAGCTCCGCCCGGAACGAGAAAATATTCTAATTTCTTAATAGCCGATTTATAAGCTTCGACGGTAGGACAGGAGCATTCTAAACAGTAAGAAGTAAAAACCACATCGAATTTTCCAACGTCTGAGGGATTCAGACCTAAATATTCTTTGAAGACATCGCAGGGCAACACACTTTTAACTCTTTGTCTTATTCTCGATTCGATCGTTTTAATGCCTTTTTCCGTGTTTCTGTTAAAAATGAATAACAAAAATAATGATTTAAAATTGAAATTTCCCGTAATCGATCTTATTCGACCAGACTTATATTAGAAAAACAAGAAAATTGGATTTACCCATATTTTTCTAGTCTCGCAGTCATTGCGATGAAAGCGGACCAATCGAGGGCATTTGGATCGTTATTCAGCCATTTTTGTAATTCTTGACGATTAGCTTCGGCATATTCAGAAAGAATAATTTCCGAAAATACTTTGGTGGCAGAGGCAATCCGGTGAACTGTAGGACCGGATCCAACGTCCAGTAATCTCTTGCCTTTAATACTTTCTATATCAAAGAAAAGAATAATTATTGTGAATTTTAAGAGACAAAATATTTAGAAATTTCTCTGTGAGTGTCCTGTTTTCTTCATGAAAATATTTGAAATATTTATTCAGTTTTAAAATTTGAGAATTTCAAATTTTATTGATTATGCTGTATTATAAAAATGGATTTAATTACATAAAGTTAAAAAGATTTAAAAGTGGCCAATTTACAAAATATCACTTATGGTAGCTGCTATTTCGTTGTGAATTTGTCTCTTTAATCCGATCCAATCAGTTCGGTAGACTATCATATACAGCTTATATGATAGTCTACCGAACAAAGCTGTATAAGATGGCCAATTTACATTATTATTGATGCATTAGTTGTTCATATCCTTTGTATTTTGCCAATGTTTAAGGGTAATTGTAATCTGTTTGATTAGTCAGATTCCAGGAAATGGCGTTAAGAATCTAATGCTTTTCTACGGGAAAATTCGTTTCCAAAAATTGTCGAAAACTGCTGTAGATAGAAACAAACACCATGTTTGGAAAAGATTTTTTCGGTAGTAAAAAAAAATTAGCCTATTATTTTCCCGGCTGTGATGTATACATAACAAGGGGAAGTATTGGAATAGTGTCAAACTTGATCCTCCGAGATTTTTGCAAATCTGCACGTTTTGAGACTCCTGTATTTAAAAAAGTGAACAAAAAACAAAAAAATCGGCAAAAAAGTTCTGTGAATATGTATGTATGTGTAGGTGTGTTGGAGTGTATTTTTGGTTAATATCTCATGATGGTGTAAATTTTGCAGGGAGGTTTGTTTATTAGAGAGATTGAAGCTATTAAATTTTGATGGTTAAAGTTCATGGGATGGGGATAAGAGGAATTGAATGTATCTCCAGTGGGTTCAGACTTAATGAGTTATTAACATTTATACTTTATTATTTTTTTTTATAAAAGTCATCTATAGCCTCAAAATTAAGCACTTTTCAATTTTATAGTAATTAAAAATATAAAAAACTTTTTATAATAAAATCTCATAACAGATGGCTTCACACACAATTTAATAAGTTGTATTGTATTCCAGTGGTATTCAATCTATGGGTCGCGACCCCAAATGGAGTATCGGAAAATTACCTTGGGATCGCACTGTTAAAATGTTTGAATACCATTTGTTGTATTCAATTAAAATTATAAAAATTATTTTCTAAATAAGAGCTCATAGTAGCCGGGAAAGTTATGTAACTCTGTTGGATTTTTAACACCTTGTACTGGAGATCGTGTGCATGACAAAAGAGGTTACAATAAGGATAAACTTAACATAATTTAAATAAATATTACAGTAAATTATACATAATTTTACCTAATCCACTGTTTTATTATAGTATCTATATTATGATTTTACTTATTTTATTATACAGAACTGAAAATTTTTCAGTTATTTATAATAAAAGTAGGTCTGAGAAAAATATTTTGAAATATTTTATTAAGAATGCTCATCAGTGTCCAAATGGATTACACCACTGAACCCGGAAAACTCCACGTGGCTAGTTCGTTTGTCAGTGGCACTGTGTGTGCGCTGTTCAATGGGCTGGCCACGTGGAGTTTTCTGAGTATTCTTAAAATGTCTAACACCCGAATACTGTCCAGTTTCTCAAAGAAGTCCTCCTAGGAGAATCTCTCTTTAAGCAGATTACGTGTTGCCTTATCCCATTGGTTAGATAGATCCATTTCATTAAGACTTTTTTTAAATTCTAATATAAATAAATAAAATAATGCTACACAATAATAATTAGTATAAAAATTAATTTCGAATTTTTTGTGCTTGTTTACGGGAATTTGCAAAATAAATGTTTCTCCTGCATTATAATTTATACATATTGCAGATGTATAAATTTCTCTTCTCTTCTATTATACAGATTTGAGAATATTCTATAAAAATTAGCACAGATTTAAAAATTATTAAATGAAATATTTCATGGTTGTTGTGTAAATTAATAGTAAGTAAATAATTAATAAACTAAAAAAAATTATGAAAAATTGAAATATTCTAATTAAATCAGATAACATAAAAAACGGTATGTCAAATATTGACTAACTTCATTTACTGATTTGAAAAATATTTATAGCTTCTATGATATAACATACTACAAATTTTTAATTTAATATTTGAAATTAAATGACTACCTAAAATATTTATCTTCTGCCTTATTGCCTGTAAAACGCATTCCGTAATAGTTTAACATAAAATTATTCATAATATTTATGATTTGAATTGATTTCTTTATACAATCAAACGTACAATAACGACCCAACAATAATAGTATAAGATCAAATAAATTGCATAACCCTGTTTTAAAAATGAGAAAATTAACCTACAGATAAACAATGCAGTCAATAATTTGAAAGTCTAATTACTTATATATTACAGTTTAGCACAATTTACACATTATTTATTTATTTTTTAATTACAAAGTTGCACCTGAATTTAGTTGCACCTTAATTATTCAAGGTCGAACTTACCGTTCTCAAATATCCTGTAAAGTACGAACGCGATAAACTCTTCTTCTTCAATTTCTTCCTGAAGCATATGCTTTATATAGAAAAGAGGATAGTCTTTTCTATGATACTCTTTCGAGAGTTTATATGTAGAATTTTCATCCACACAGCAGGGATTTTCCATGTTCAATTAACTTCGAAGACATAGAAATATTCAATTATTAATCATTAAAATTTCTAACATAAAAATATTTTAAATATTATTTGTATTAAAAATCTTTTTACTGTACTTACCTTCTAGATTTGTATCGTTTTACCAAGAAGAGTATGACATTTCGATGGAAGAGTAGCTCTATTTATTACAGAATTTGTTTACATCCTGCTGAAAAAATGACATCACTCGAAATAGCGCTATTGGTCGAAATTAAATTTAAGCACTAGCCAACTTTCACTATCGTTTTAATACTTTTATGACGTCGTACACAAACAACTAATTTATCAAATATTGCGTTGTTATAAAGAAAGATTTACAATCAAACTCTATGCAAAAGATTAAAGTTCAAGTAACACTGTTGAGTTTCATATTGAGATGTTCTCGGTTGAATATATTAGTTTATAAATATATTTTTTTAGCACAAAATGTATCATATACTTAACTAAATATAAAGCAAAAGCACGTAAAACGAAACTTTATGTGCAAGTAAACGTGTGTATCTAGGTGACTCGAATACTTTCGATATAAAGAAATTGTTCTAATTATAAATCGAGTAAGTCGTGTGATGTAGAGATTAACAGGAATTTTCGATTATTATTTCTTGAACTGTACATATTTAAATGTTTTTGTGAAAAACTAAATACAGAATTTCGAACTTTGATAAATTGCTTAAAATTATTAATTACTAGCTGGGGTACCCGGCTTCGCTCAGGGGGTTGATATGAGATTGTGGGGTAGTTGGAATAAAAAAATAAACTTTAAAATATAAGAGGTAAAAATATTTTATTGAAAACATATTCTTACTATTTACAATACTTGTTTATAAACAACATTTTTCATTTTGTTATCCGGGGTACAGTTGTGGTAATCGAATTTTTCCATTTATGCAACAAAATCCTGGTGTTTCTCCACTGAATTTTTTCGCGTTGCAAAATTGGCAGATGTTATCCATTTTTCCGATTACGACGTGTTTGTGTTTGTTATATTCTTTCGTCGGGTCGTAGTGGAATGCTTCATTTGTTAGGTTGTACTGTTTGCTTGTCCTTGTCCGCGCTTTTCGTAGGGTGATATTTGCATGGGTGAGTTGCGTTCGCAGTCTTTTATTATAAGATTATGTCGCAATTCTTGATTCTTCAATTCGTTCATTTCGTTGTTCTTCGGTTTCTCTGCTTCTCACGGTGCTCATTCTCGTTCGTTGGGAACGAGAATGCCTCGCGCTCTTCGACTGTTTCGTTTTTTCGCTGTTCTTTTTGTTTTCGCCGTTTTGCTTCAGAACTGGCAAGAGCTCCTCCTCTTATAAGTTTGGGCATTGTATAAAATATAAATCAAATGAACTTTTTATTAACAAATACACTTTGTCAGTACACTTTACACAGTTTTCACACTTTATTTTCGATTTATATTCAGTCACTGTATCACTTTGACTACTCACACTTCACTGTTTGTTTTTATTCACTCACTGCACTACTTTGGAATTTTCACTTCTTTTTCGGTTCTTCCCTTCGTCACTGATAAGAAACCGACGTTCGAACCCACAACGGATCTTGCTTTATATACCCCCACCAATGGGTAGTCCCACCCATAAAAAAGGGTTTCGAATGGTCCACAATGTTCCAGAACATTCCACAACATTCGAGAGTGTTCTGGAATGTTCCACAATGATCTGGGATGTTTCGGGATGTTCTGGAACATCCCGAAACATTCTAGAATGTTGTGGAATGCTCTCGAATACTCTGGAATGTTCTGGACTGTTCTAGAAATTTCTAGAGGGCGAAACTTCCAGCCCTTATATCTTCAACAGCACGCCCTTCAGGTGAAAACGGGAACCTTCTTCATGACTGGGAGATAGAGGGCTACCACACCATATAACTCCCTTGATCGTACCGGGACTCGTTTTTGAGTTTTAGCGGCACGCACATTGTACACTTACCTTTATAATATATATNCTCTTCCATCGAAATGTCATACTCTTCTTGGTAAAACGATACAAATCTAGAAGGTAAGTACAGTAAAAAGATTTTTAATACAAATAATATTTAAAATATTTTTATGTTAGAAATTTTAGTGATTAATAATTGAATATTTCTATGTCTTCGAAGTTAATTGAACATGGAAAATCCCTGCTGTGTGGATGAAAATTCTACATATAAACTCTCGAAAGAGTATCATAGAAAAGACTTTCCTCTTTTCTATATAAAGCATCTGCTTCAGGAAGAAATTGAAGAAGAAGAGTTTATTGCGTTCGTACTTTACAGGATATTTGAGAACGGTAAGTTCGACTTTGAATAATTAATTGAATAATTCAGGTACAACCTTGTAATTAAAAAATAAATAAATAATCTGTAAATTGTGCTAAACTGTAATATAAGTAATTAGACTTTTATATTATTGACTGCATTGTTTATCTGTAGGTTAAATTTTTGTTTTTTAAACAAGGTTTTGTAAATTATTTGATCCTATACTATTATAGTGTATTGTATTTAATGGCTTTATCACACATTAGCAGATGAGCCCGGCGTTGCTCGGGCAAAAGTAACGATAGCGAAATTAAATTTATTAGATTATAGCCGATCTTACCCGTTTTCACCGGGTGCAAGAATTAGGTCTCTCCTATTCCGAGGCTAATTAGAAAATTTTTAGATGAGCCTAAAAATATGTTCGATTTCTCACAAAAAAGCAAAAAACTGAATTTAAAAAAGTACAGTAGAAGCCAAGTTCACCAGGGTAATCTCCCTCTCCCCTGCCGGGAAATTTCGAAAAATCCCTTCTTAGTGTACAGTACATTCTCATGGCGTACACTAAATGTGTACCAAATTTCAACTTTTAACTGTTTGGGCTCTGCGCTTATTATTGTTATTATTATCAACCCATCTCCATTATATTATAAGATTGAGGCTATTTATCTCATTTATTATATATCTGTATTTACAGTCAAAGGTAACAATTTCCTTACAACTAAACCATTTTAAAATACATTTCGGCTATAACACTCACAGCCTTCATCAGTTAGATTATTTTGGTTTACAGGTTTTTAAAAAATTAACAACGTTATTTTAAACTGAATCTAACTAAAGAAGACTGTGGGTTTTATAGCCGAAATGCTTATTAGAATGGTCCAAATACAGAGATTGTTACCCTTTTTTCACTTGTGTACTACCCGAGCCTTCTGTGTATAGACATTTTCTTTACATCTTTTAGCTAAGCAGTTTTCATTATAACTTATTAAATTGCGTGTGAAGCCATCTGTTATGAGATTTTGTTATAAAATTATTTTAATATTTTTAATTACAATAAAATTGAAAATAGCTTAATTTTGAGGGTATAGATGATGACTTTTATAAAAAAAACAATAAAAAAGTATAAATGTTAGTAACGAGTCAAACGTCATTAAGTCTGGAGATAAATACAATTCCCTTTATCTTACCACCGCCACGACCTTTAATCACCAAAATTTAATAGCATCAATCTCCCTAATAAACAATCCTCCCTGCAAAATTCCATTACTCAATCTTTACCCCATCATGCCATCATGAGATATTAAGCAAAAATAGATGCCAACACACCTACACATATATACATATATATCCACAGAACTTTTTTGCCGATTTTTTTGTTTACTTTTTTAGATACAGGAGTCTCAAAACGTGAAGATTTGCAAAAATCTCGGCGGATCAAATTTGACACGATTCCGATACCTCCCCTTGTTATGTATACAACACAGCCAGGAAAATAATAGGATAATTTTTTTACTACCGAAAAAAATCTTTTCCAAACATCTCGAAAACTGAATTACCGGTACATAAAACCAATTAGGATTCTAACGCAACAAGGTGTTTGTTTATATCTACTGCAGTTTTCGACAATTTTTGGAAACGGATTTTCCCGTAGAAAAAGCATTAAATTCTTAACGCTATTTCCTGGAATCTGCCTAATCAAACAGATTACAATTAGCCTTAAACATTGGCAAAATACAAAGGATATGAACAACTAATGCATCAATAATAATGTAAATTGGTCACTTTTTGATCTTTTTAACTTTATGTAATTAAATCCATTTTTATAATACAGCATAATCAATAAAATTTGAAATTCTCAAATTTTAAAACTGAATAAATATTTCAAATATTTTCATGAAGAAAACAGGACACTCACAGAGAAATNTTTTTATGTTTCATAGAGCGTGGAAAGAAATTCAAAATCACTCGATGTTGAACATGTTGGAAATAAACTACGGAGAATTGCAATGGAAAATCAGTGGACGGCAGAAAAAGCGAAATGATTTGCGTAAATAAATTCGATCGATGCTAAATTGAGAATTTTCATTAACGGAAATCAATCCAGGGGACTTGTTGTTTCTTTTAACATATTGTATGAAGAATTTGATATATACAGAAGTTACATTCTGGAATCTGTAAGTGGTGTTTCGTATTTGAACATCAACAGGCAATATGAGACACATAAAGTAAGTGAAAGAGATCGTCCTTTTATTTTTTTCAATAAAGAATGTAATAATCTTAATAAACGTTGTAATCGATACAGAAACTAAAATTATGTTGTGATACATAAGCGAGATTTTCTTGTTCTAGACAGAAAACTTGACGATATTAACTTAAAAGTCAAATAAAACACGAAAAGGAATACTGTATTATCATCATTAATGTCACGATACATTAAAGACACCGTATATCTTTTATCTATCATGCATTTATTTATTTCTGAAAATATTTAATTTTTTCACATAAGCATTAAATTTAATACAAGGGAGACCGGGGCAAGATCGGCATGTTAAGCTTTACTTAAATTTTGTGTAATAAATACTGCTGTAAACTGAAAAAAAAGCTTTGCATATTGTCTATTGGAATGTTACNTTCAAAGAATATTTAGGTCTGAATCCCTCAGACGTTGGAAAATTCGATGTGGTTTTTACTTCTTACTGTTTAGAATGCTCCTGTCCTACCGTCGAAGCTTATAAATCGGCTATTAAGAAATTAGAATATTTTCTCGTTCCGGGCGGAGCTTTGATAATGATTGTAATTATCGACAGTTCTTACTGCATCTACGTCAACGACTCGGAAAAACTTAAATTTTACGATTTGTCTGTAAGTGAGCAATTGGTGAAGGAAGCTTTAGAAGAAGCCAATCTCGATATAAAACACTGGTACTTTAACAAGGACATCGGAGAAGACGATACTACCAAATGCAAAGGAATTTTAGTTTTGTCTGCCTTGAAAAAAATTGATTAATTTCGGTAAATTAATAATATCCTTCGTACAGATTGTAGCTAATCATTACCTGTAAAGAGGAAAATTATATGGAGTCATAATTCGCTGTGTTTAGGTGAAATGCAATAAAGGCTCTGTTAACACTGCTATGAAAACAAAGAAAATTTATGCTAATGGTTTCTGAAACTGTGATAATGAAAGACGAAATAACTGATATAATCCAATATTGTTAATAAGAATTTATATAATAATATTTCTAGTTAAATGAGAATTTTTTAAGAAAATGTTTAAAAATTAATCGAGTTCATCAACAACTTATCTACAGATAAATCGAGAGATTTAATGCTCTGAGTTTTATGATAATGTTTTAACGTTATTATCTGTATTGAAGTTTATATAAAATTACAATAATAATATTAGATCAAAGTCTTGTCACGATTAATTTCATTGTCAAAGTTCCAAATGAATTTGTTTAACGTTTCATAACGTTGCATATTTTTGCTTTCGTTTAATTTTTAACGCAGATAATTAAAATTATATAAGAGCGAGTGAGTTAATCGATTTCGGTATGAGATCTAAATATAATATTATGTTATTTATTGTTCTTATATATGTTTTGAAAATAAATAACGTATATTAATAGCAGAATTTATATGATAAACGAAAATATAATGAACGAAATATAAATTTATTTATGTTTATATAAATGATTAACTTGGTTGATTCATATTCTCCAGTTATTTTGCTCAATAATTGCACGCAGCGGATATCCTTATTAAATAATTTTTGTCGATCGATATAATCGTGTTGTTAATGTGCTTTTGGCAACTAATAACTGTATTGTTGGCTATTTCCGAGGATTGTATTTTGAGTATATTGTATGCGTGGAGAATTATTGCAGGTTAATGTAAAGAAATGATTAAGAAAATAGTTATATGTAATTATATAGAAATAAATAAAATTCGTATAATATTTTATTTAAAAATTTTCTATTTTTTCATGTTTTATTTCTGTGATAAATTAAACTATTTACAATGTTTTATCGAAGCATTCTGTTTTCATCGATATTATGTAATCAAATGAATTAATAAAGCAGTAACGAGTTTCTCAACTTTCCCGTCAACAATTAAAATTTTGGTGGCGTCATCTGTTATCATATTTTATTTTTAAAAACTTTTTTATATTTTTAACTATTATAAAACGACAAAAAGCTTAGTGTTTAGGGTAGGGGTGAGTTTTATAAAAACAATTATAAACGATAATAATGAGTAAATCGTCATTAAGTCCGACCTAAAATCACAAATAAAAAAAAGTCCTACCTTCTCGGAGGTACACACGACTCCTATTATCTCCTTACCCCTCGACCTGTAACCACTAAAATTTAATCGCATCAGTCCGTCTAATAAGCGAACCAACGTGCAAAATTTCAGAAATTTTCGACAAAAAGCACAGGAGTTATTAAGGTTCAAACACTGTGAACAAAACCATTCCCCCCACACACATATACACAGATACTAATATCCATACATACAGAAATTACTTTCGAATTTTCTGCATGTATTGACGTTAGAAGGTGTCCTGAGTCCANAAAATGGAAAAACCGAAATAAGCCAATAATTCTGATATGTAAATTGCCCTTTATATATTATTTTGAAAATATACGGACATGTATTAGTTTTAAAAATAAGTTTATTACATAAGACAACGATTCTATTATGAAATATTATATAAAATAGTAAATATTCTGCAATATTGTTTATAATTTCTGCTGTTATTCCAACATAACTAATAGCTTTAGCAATTGGTAGTTCAATAAATAACAACAAAAAGTTCTTCATTCATAACGTCAAGCATTACAAAAGTTCTACAGAAAATTCTATTTAAATCTATTTCTTTATCACTTGACTCCAATTCCGGTTTTTATAATTCTACTTATTTTGCTTGTGAATATTATTTATAATTTCTGCTGTTATTCCAACATAACTGATAGTTTTAGCAATTGGTAGTTCAATAAATAACAACAAAAAGCTCTTCATGCATAACGTCA